GAGAGGGAGACACAGAATCCGAAGCAGGCTCCAGGCTCTGAGCTGTCAGCACAGAGCCCAATTCGGGGCTCGAACTCATGAACCGTGTGATCATGACCTGAGCCGAAGTCGGACGCCCAACCGACTGAGCCACCCAGGCACCTCTATTCTATGTTACTTTTTAATGTGTATTCTTTTATAAAGTAGACTTCTAAGAAGTGAATGTAAAAGTCACAGGTGTGTATCAGGAGATGATGCCACCACAAATGAGTTAATCCAACCAATTTAAATTTTACCAAGAGCAGAAATCATTAAATTATTCAATCTTTAGCATAGAAAATAATTGTAGAAAGTCCTCTGGCACAATACTTTTCAGATGTAAATATTGGGAGTATATTTTGAAAGACATATTACATATATAGCAAAAAGAAAAGGAAACGGTCCTATGTTTTAAAATTATATAGAAATACATATAAATATAAATACATACTTATCGTAACAGCCAGCATCCCAATTGATCTGCAAAGATCCTTGTCTCTTGATATTCTTACCTTTGTGTGATTCTCTCCCACATTGTACCACTGTTGGTCTGTGTGACAAATAGCATATGGCAGAAGTGATGTCACTTCCAAAATTAGGCTATAAAAGACTGAAATATCCACACCCTTCTATATATAGATATAGATGATATAGATACACATGATATGGATATAGATAGATATAGATGATATAGATATCAATGATATAGATAGATACAGATATAGATGTAGATGTAGATATAGATACAGATATAGATAGATATATTTGTCTATCTCATCACTCACTCTTGGAGATGCCAGTTGCTTTTTTGTGAAAAATTTCAGGTAGCCCATGCATAAGGAAAAAGGCCACAGCCAGCTTCCAGCAAGGAGCTGAGGACCATCAACAACCATGTGAGTGATCTTAGCAGTGGAGTCTTCAGGCCCAGAGGAACTTAAGATGATTGTAACCCTGGGGACAGGTTTATTACAACGTTAAGAGAGACCTTAAGCCAGAAAACCCATTTAAGCCATTCCCAGATCCTGACTCCTAGAAACTGTGTCAGATAATAAATGTTTGCGGTTTTAAGCTGTTACGTTGCCAGTAATTTGCTGTGCTACAATGGATATGTGATATATTTGCCAAAATAGAATAGCAAAGAAGCCCTTAGGGTTTATCGAAGGCTTTAATATTTTAAACTTAACACCGTTACAACAATTTTCTTCATTAAATTAAAATTGTATGAAGTATTGAGGCTTGCCATGATGATTGCGGTCCCTAAATACATAAGGGGTTATTTTCTAATGGGCCCTTTTTAAAAGGTAGTTAATATCACCCAAAAGTATAAGGTGAATTTTACTCAAATATTATTGGATGAGATAGTATTTTTTTTGAAAAGTATCTACCACAAAAATGTTTATTTCAAAATGATATATTACTGGTATGGATCATGCTCTCCTTTGCAGAAGGGCATGCTTCGTATAGTGTGGGGCTGATCTCGGGGCTACGTGGATAGTCTACCGGTTGAGAGATGTTTTTGACTTCAACGATGTCCTTTGTTTCACTAAGTTGTATCAACAGATTCTTTTGTTACTAAAAAAGAACATTTAAGGACAGATCAAGTACATGATTTCATCCGTGTGACTTTCTGCTTTCCCAACATCCAGATGGTCTGATGGTTTCAGCATCAGTTCATCAGCAATGCTTCTCTGAGAGTATCGAGTTGAGTCTCATGGAACCAGGCTAGCTGGATCTTCTTAACTAGGTAACCATTCTGTTTAAGCTTCAATTTATGGTAGAAATGGAGAGGAGAGGGGATTAGAATTTGTACTGGTTTTCTAGGGCTGCCATTATAAAGTACCATGGATTAGTTTAAACAACAGAAATTTATTTTCTCAAGAGTCTGGAGGCCAGAAATCCAAATCAAACTGTCAACAGGGTTGATTTCTTCTGAGGGCCTTTCTCCTTGGCTTGTAGATGGCCATCTTCCTTTGTGTCTTCACATAGTTTCACATAGTTTCCATAGTGTCTATGTCCTAATCTTCTCTTCTTATAAGAATACCAGTCAGGGGCGCCTGGGTGGCGCAGTCGGTTGAGCGTCCGACTTCAGCCAGGTCACGATCTCACGGTCCGTGAGTTCGAGCCCCGCGTCGGGCTTTGGGCTGATAGCTCAGAGTCTGGAGCCTGTTTCCGATTCTGTGTCTCCCTCTCTCTCTGCCCCTCCCCCGTTCATGCTCTGTCTCTCTCTGTCCCAAAAATAAATAAAAACGTTGAAAAAAAAAAAAAAAAGAATACCAGTCATATTGGATTAGGGCCCACCCTAATGCCATCATTTTACCTCTTAAAAGACTTTATCTTCAAATGCAATCACATTCTGAGGTATGGAATTCAGACTTCAATACATGAATTTGAGGGGGGACATAATTCAGCCTATAGGAGACCTGAAATAGATTGTTTAGATAAAAAACTAAAAGACCAAATAAGTAAAATCAATAGAACACTTAAGCAGAGCTGAATAACAGATATGTGTTATAATACAAGTAAGAATGAATTCATATTTATTATAAGTGACAAGGCTCAGAAGCTATATAAAAATTAATATAAGAATCAATAGCAACAAAACAATTAATCGTGGAGAATTTCTCCATGGAGCCTGGGTGGGAATCACTGGGGACCAGCTTGGAAAAAGGCTACTACAGTGAGAGAGGAAGTGGTTACATCATCATCATGAAGTTGATAACAAATGATATCTTTAAATGAGGAAGTATCAAAAATTGCTCTCTGGACCATTCAGAGGAGATCGGGTGCGTTCAGGGTGGTATGGCTATAGACAGGACCATTCAAATTGATCAAGGTATAAAGAGATTAAGGAACATATATTTGAGCATTGGTCTTTTTTGGAATTGGGTTGTTTGTATTAAAAGAATATTACAAATGTTTTACACAGAAGAAAAAAAATCACAGTTAAAAAGCACATCAAAACTATTGTAAAATACGTACGTATGTGTTAAAGAAATGCACAGCGAAAAAGTAATCAGATCTGGGTATGGATGTTGTAAATACCATTTTTAAAAAAGTAAATTCATTGCCTGTAATGTTTAATTTTAAGAAAAATCATTCTAAGGCAAGCTGGTGAGTTTGCCGAAGTTAAAATACCAGATAGTGTATTCATATGAATAGTTCTTAGTTGATCTCCAGGAAAAATTTGAAAATAAAAACTAATGTGCTTTCTCCCAGGAATTTGAGAACATACCAAATCCATCAAAAGGCTTTGTGATGTGGTATCTTACAGTGAATGGATATCAACCATGTTTATAAAAATGATCTTATTTGGGGTATTAATCTACTTAGTACATTTGGCCATACGTTAATCAAGGTAATCTTTGCACATGTGTGCGTGATGGTATATAATACAAAGCAAATAAAGATATTCTATTTCTCTTTTTATGAAAGACACAGGCAATTTGCCCACTGAATTGCTTTAAAGGCTTTTAATACTAACATCTGTAGTTATGTAATACTTCAGAGCAGGAGTTAACAAACTTTTTGTGGAAAGGGCCAAGCAGTAAATATTTGCAGCTTTTCTGGCCATAACTGGCCATAACTGGCCATAACAGCTTTTCTGTGTCATAACTACCCAACTTTGTCACCATAGCATAAAAACAGTCATCAGCAGGGGCGCCTGGGTGGCTCAGTAGGTTAAGCGTCCGACTTTAGCTCAGGTCACGATCTTGCGTTCTGTGAGTTGGAGCCCCGCGTCAGGCTCTGGGCTGATGGCTCAGAACCTGGAGCCTGCTTCCGATTCTGTGTCTCCCTCTCTCTCTGCACCTCCCCCGTTCATGCTGTGTGTCTCTCTGTCTCAAAAATAAATAAACGTTAAAAAAAAAATTTTTTTTAAAAATTAAAAAAAAAGCAGTCATCAGCAATACTTAAACAAACGTGGCTGTGTTCAATAAAACTTTAGGTATTAAGACTAAAATTTGAACTTTAGATCGTTTTCATGTATCACAAAATATTCTTCTTCTTGGGATTCTTCCTCTTTTTCAACCATTTAGAAACATAAAACCCTTTCTTAGCTAACGGGCTATGCAAAAATAGATTACAGGCCAGATTTGGTAAATGTCTTAGAGCCTCCTTATTACTATACTTATAGGCTGACAAGGTAGACAAAACACTAAAGAGACGCTGAAAACCACAAAAAACATGAAGGCCTTCTAACAAGTTCCTAGGTGGAAGCCCAGCGGCCTTCTAGAATACCTCATTGCTAGGTACCAAGCCAAAGCCAATTAGCTGATGTTGAATTCATTGAGAGACACGCTCTGAGAGACAGAGCATGAGTGGGGAAGGGGCAGAGAGAGACAGGGAGCCACAGAATCTGAAGCAGGCTCCGGGCTCTGAGCTGTCAGCACAGAGCACAGTAACGGGGCTTGAACTCATGGACTTTGAGATCATGACCTGAGCTCAAGTCAGATGCTTAACCGACTAAGCCACCCAGGCACCCCGAATTCACTGATTTTCTAACTGAAATATGCAGGGTGACTGAACCATTGGAAAATGTTTGCACTTTAACAATTAGAGTGATATAGTTTTAGCAGTCAATATATTGTGCATGGTTTTCCTGTGACAGCCATTCACAGTTGTGATATTTAGCACACGTGCAGTCCTTTCCATGATCCAGTAACTGGTCTAAGGACTGTAAGTGCATTTTTTTTTCCCCACCAAAAAATCCCTAAAATGTGGGTATAATTGTTATTCTCATTTTATGGATTTTTCCTTTCAAAATTATGTCACTGCGTATCTGGCTTCTATTATCTGGTGTCTGTGTGTGTGTGTGTGTGTGTGTGTGTGTATGCGTCTAAAAACAGAGAAATATATACGTATAAATAATTGTACTCACTTGTACAAAAGACCATGACCACTCTTATCAAAAGCCCAGATCCATGCTTCTGTTGTCACCCATCATTTTTTAAATCATGCAAAATAAAAAGGGAAATAGAACTATTTTACCAACTGAATGAGCACACAGTCAGTGCTATAACTACGAGCATTACTCCCGGTGCTTGTGCCCTGAGGTCTGATGAAGCCTTTAATATCCAGTCCTTCTCGTACAACCTCCCAAACAGAGTTACGGTCAAGACAGGTCCCGATGGCGGCTTCACGCTAAACAAGCGTCCATCACTTGACACCTAATTAAAACACAGAGAAGTTAACTGGGTCTCCCTGCAAGTTCTACAACCCCTAACACGCTTTTAAAATTCAGGGCAACTGGATGAAGAAACAGTAAAAATAATAATGGCTACCTTCTGTCAGAAATTTTGAAATGGTGCAGATCACGGGAAAAATTGGAGGTGTGGAATTGGCATGGATTCATTTATTATTGAAATGGCTACAGGGGCGCCTGGGTGGCGCAGTCGGTTAGGCGTCCGACTTCAGCCAGGTCACGATCTCGCGGTCCGGGAGTTCGAGCCCCGCGTCGGGCTCTGGGCTGATGGCTCAGAGCCTGGAGCCTGTTTCCGATTCTGTGTCTCCCTCTCTCTCTGCCCCTCCCCCGTTCATGCTCTGTCTCTCTCTGTCCCAAAGATAAATAAACGTTGAAAAAAAAAATTAAATAAAAAAAAAAAAGAAATGGCTACAATCAATATCTTATAATTGACTTATTTGAGGAAGCATTCCATGAGGAAACAAGCATAAAGCAATGGGTTTGGGAAATCTAATGCTCTCAGACAAAATAGGCTCTTCCAAATGGACAGAAGGGACTGACTGAGGGGGTTGAGCTGAGCCTCTGTCAACCCTGTCACTCGCTCACCACAGCCCCCCACCATGTTCATTGACCCAATGCCCCACAGTGGCTGTTCCTACAAGGAATACAGAAGAAGAGCAGAACCTGCAGGAAAGCCAGGGGAAGAATGTGGCTGGGCAGAGCTTATACAGTAAGGAACTATTTCCGGCCTTTAAAAAAAAAAAAACGTGTTTTGTGACAATTTCAGCTACCATCAGATTCTCTCTCCTCAGCTTTTCCTTCCTTCTTTTTCCTCCTGTGATCACAGAAGGTCTTTACACAACAATGAAAGGAACTCCCTTTATTTTTGCTAGGCTATCACTGCTCTTGATGTGAAGGGGTTCCCTCTGGTGGGACTGGTCCTAAAACCCTTCTGGAGTCTTCTTCCTACTCAGGGGGATCCGAAACAGCCATCCCCCTCCCAGTAGTCTCCATAATATATATATGTATATATGTATACATAATATATATACATATATATTATGTACATAATATATATATATGTATATACATATATATATTATTCTCAAGGACACTAATTACTATAGTACGAATTTCCAGACAAAAAATTCAGCCTGCTCAGTGTGCCTCCTGATTCCTAAGAACAATTTTATCCTTTCCAAATGGAGATTTTTGTGATATTTGTAAACACTTGAGTCGGTTTCATACTCAAAAAGTGCTCCCTCTTACATGAAATGAATTGTCAATATTCAGCAAAGATTCTTACCTGAAATTCCCCAGGTGCAAGCTGACTGTCACTCAGCAACACCTCAGGGAAGACATATCGGGTTCCAAAAGTGCCACTGAGGGAAAACGTTTCAAACCTGGTGGAAGCAGATTCAACCGCATCACCACAAGTGCGTAAGTTTGGTGTTTTACACTTCAGCAGAGTACAAATCTAGGAAAGTAAATGCAAACCAGTGAGTCCTAAGAAAGCCAACTGATGCACCCTTCTGACCTACAAATATTGCCTCTGCAATGCCTAGGCTCTTTTGTTTGATAAAATAATGTTATTTTTCCATTCGATTAATTCAATTCATTGATGGATAGCTAATTCAACTATTAATAAAAATAAATGACTTCAGACCCTAATGCTTTCTGCCATTCACGGTCAAACAGATTAAATTTCATGAAGAAACAATCAGACCCTTGGTCTATAGCGATGAACAACTATACCCTCATTGTTCTCAAGCTGGCAATGCTTTTAATCATTGACTTCCATTTTTTTTCCAAAAGGTTAAATCTAGTTTCATCTCTACATTTTTGCCTATTTCCCGCAATAAAAGAAATTTAAAGTTGTAATGAACCCTAGAGTTGATCTAGAGGCAATCCCTGTGAATGGGAAAAGTCACACACTTTATATCTGAGCAAGAACTGAAATAGTTCTCACTATACTACACAGTTATATTCTACTCTACTCTACTACAAAATAATGTAAATGTAATGTACATGTAAATGTAAATGTAAAATCTAAGTATAGGGATCATCTCACTATGCAGATGCAAAGTCCCCAAAAGGAAGATCCATATTCATTGAACCTGTACTGCATCTTCCAAACCTTATTTCAAGCCACCTTACCTCCTGCCTGACTAAAGCAGCAGCTTTAACTGGTCTCCCTGTTTCTACTTTTGAAGTCAGAGAGTAAGAGCTTTAGAGCAAGTATGTTAAGATGGGATACAAATAGCTTTCAGATAAAGGAACAATGACTACATGCGTCTGTTTTATTCCCTATATCTTACCTAAGCCAAACTTGGTTTGTTTGTTTAAGACATGAACCCATAAGGATAGGAAAACAGGAGGCTAGAGCATGGCTTAATGTTGGAAGTTGGGACGGTTGATGCAAAAGTAGTGACTGACTTCCCAAGCCTAAGGAAAGCCAAGTCCTAATCTGGCAATAAGAGAGCCACGAATCAACCCTATCTACACGGCAGAATACTCAGAAGATTCCACCCCTGGGAGCACCAGGTACCTCAGGAACTGGTAAAGTTGTGGTGGCTAATGTAAGGAAAAGTGGTAGGAATTTGTTAAGGATGCCTCAGATTCTGAGTCCCCCACCATGGATGGGCAACTCTCCTTCTTCTATTCCAGTAAGAGATGGGGCATTTATTCCCAGAGAGGGTAAGGCAGATGATTTTTAGTAGAGGTTTTGAAAAACCTGGTTGAGGGGCGCCTGGGTGGCGCAGTCGGTTAAGCGTCCGACTTCAGCCAGGTCACGATCTCGCGGTCCGTGAGTTCGAGCCCCACGTCAGGCTCTGGGCTGATGGCTCAGAGCCTGGAGCCTGTTTCTGATTCTGTGTCTCCCTCTCTCTCTGCCCCTCCCCCGTTCATGCTCTGTCTCTCTCTGTCCCAAAAATAAATAAATGTTGAAAAACCTGGTTGAAGGGGATTACATGAATGAAATTTTGTTGAGATCATCCCCCTCCACCATGATGCATCCAGCAAGGTCATTGCTCTCACCTGGTTCTCTAAATGCTGTCAGCAATGAATTTGCCCTTGAGAAATAAAATTACCAGATAAAGACAGGACAGGAGCCCAATTTAAATTTGAAGTTTAAATATACTAATAGTATCAAAAATGGTTTTTAGTGTGTAAGTATGTCTCAAATATTGAATGGGACAATCTTATATTTTTTAAATATTTGTTGTTTATCCAAACTTTGAATTTACTAGGGCACCCTGTATTTCAATTTGCTAAATTAGATAACATTATTCAGGAAGAGAATTAGAAGAATTTTAAAGACTGAGAAACCTGACCCATCCCAAGAGGAAGTCTCCAAATATACTTACTCCAAATATACTTACTTACTGTTTCCCCTAACAAAATGCCTGGTTAGATCACCCTACTTTGAAGTTTAAGTGGGCAAATATCACTCATGCTTGGCCCTTCACTTAGTTTTTGGTAAGGTTAAAGGGTTACTATATTTCTGAGGAAAGCTTCTAACATGAAAGAGAGAGCAGAACAGGTAGATAAAAGAAACTTTAGGGAAAAAGAGACTATTTAAAGAGAAGAAGCTTCAAGAAAAAATTTTCTGTAGGGCACCTGGGTGGCTCAGTCAGTTAAGTGTCTGAATCTTGATTTTGACTCAAGTTGCGATCTCACAGCTCTGGAGATTGAGCCCCCTTTCAAACTCTGCACTGACAGTGCAGCACCCGCTTGGGATTCTCTCTCCCCCATCTCTCTGTGCCTCCCCCACTCACCCTTATTGTCTCTCTCTCTCTCTCTCTCTCTCTCAAAATAAATGAATAAACATTTCAAAGAAAGAAAAAAAGAAAAAAAATTCCTTACCAGTCTCAGAGAGATAAAATGCTGGATCCACAAAACAACATCAACAGAAAAAAATTCATAAAGCAAAAAAATAGTTCTTGAAAAATAAAAACATGTCAACAAAAATAAATGACCCAATGTAAGGCTTGAAAGATCAAGAGGAGTAAATGAAAAAAAGAGAGAAAGAAAAAAGAAGAAAGAAAGAAAGAGCAGGAAAGAAAGAAAGAAAGGAAGGAAGAAAGAGAGAAAGAAAAGATACAAAAATATTAGAGGACAAACCCAAAAAACACATGATTCCAAAAATAGGAGTTCCAGAAGAGGAAACCATGGAGGGGAGGAAATTCTATAAGGTTTCTGAGGAAACAGTAGAAAGAGGGATACACATACAAAGCACCAGGAATCAAAATAACTCAAGAATTCTCAGTAGCAATACAATGACCTTGAATTTTATACTTAGGGAAATCCTCCATCAAATATGAAAGGAAAGGCATTTTGAGACTTGTAAGTTGAAAATATTTTATCACCCACTCAGAGTGATCTTCCAGGAACTTACACCACCAACAACAAAGGAGGTGGGTGGTACTGTGTAAGAAAATATAGTAAGAAATATATATTTGGTCTTTTTCTAGTGCCTGGCAAGAAGAGCTCTAAAATCCTTGGAATTTCCTTAGTGATGAGAGGTGAAATGTGAAAAGAGGGGCTTTTGTTACTAATAACAAGCCTCTTTCAACCACGACTGAGTTCATGTTAATGAGGAGATTTTTGGAGAGCCTTAAATAACCACAGGATGGAAACTGGTGACCAGGGAAACCAACCACCTGGTTAGAGAGTTGGAATTTTCAGCGTCGCCATCCCCACCCCTATATCTGCGGAGGGAAGAGGAGCTGGAGGCTAAATTAAGCACCAATGGTCAATAACTTGAATCAATCATGTCCATGAAATTAAGCCTCCATGAAAATCCCTAAAGTATGGAGTTCAGAGAGAATCCAGGTTGGTGAACAAGAAGGCCGTATCTACATGATGGGAAGGTGGCATACCCCAAACTCCATGGGACAGAAACTCCTATGCTTGGGATACTCCCAGACCTTGCCGTATGTGTCTCTTCATCTGGCTGTTCATTTGTATTCTTTGAAATGTCCTCTGTAATAAACTGTTAGTAGTACATAAGGCACTTTCTTAGGTTCTATGAGCCATTCCAGAAAATTAGCAAATCCAAGGCAGAGATCGCAGGAGCCCCTGATTTACAGTCAGTCAGGTCAGAAGCATGGGTGACAACCTGGGCTTGTGATTGGAGTCTCAAATGGGGAGGGGACTTGTCTTGTGGGACTGAGCCCTGAGGCTGTGGACTCCGCTTTAGCTCCTGGTAGATGATGTCAGACGAGTAAATTTCAGAAGAAACAGTTAAAAGATTCAAAAGTGTTTGCCTTCAGAAAGAAGGACAAGATGGATTAGGGAAGAAACCGGTGTTTCACAAGATTTTAGTGCTGTCTTCTTAGGTGTGCCCATGCATTACTTTTATTAAAATGAAGAAAGAAGTGATAGAGGCAATCCAGGTGGTAGGAAGGGAGAGAACATCTGGCATATGACAAGGACTCAAGAAACAAAGGAGTTGACTCAGGACCTGCTTGCAATGCGGCCAGTGTTCACGTGAGCAAACCTGGTCGTATAGGTCTGACAGCTAAAAGAAAAGTTTATGTTACTTTTTTTTAGCAGCAACAACAACAACAATAATAAAAGTTAACATTCATTGAGGACTTTTTATGTGTAGGCACAGTGCTGAATTCTTTACATTTATTTGTTAGTTTATATATTTACTTATTTTTAATGTTTATTTCTTTACTTTGATCGGGGGGGGGGGCAGGGAGAGAGAGAGAGATTGAGCACGAGCAGGGGAGAGGTAGAGAGAAAGGAAGACAGTGCGGAGCCAGATGTGGGGCTCAAATTCACAAACTATGAAAGCATGACCTGAGCCAAAATGGAGAGTTAGACGCTTAACGGACTGAGCCACCCGGGTGTCCCTGTTTACATTTATTTATGAAATCAAAGTTCCCCCAAATGCCATAAATAATAATAATTATTATTATTATTATTATTGTCATCATTCTTACTTCCCTCCTAGGATTAAGTTAGGTCCTCCAGTTGTATGGTTTAATTGTCCGTGGTACTTTCCTTTGGAAACATTTGTCCCAGCTAAAATCAACTAGTGATTTCCTTAGTTTTCTCTTCAATGGCTGTGTCCCCACCAGCATTAAGCTCTATGAAGACAGTGACAGTATCTGTCTTGCTCATCTTAATATCCTCAGGCTGTACCAAGTGCTTGCACACAGAAAGCATTACATAAATATTTGGTGAATGAAAATGAATCCACATGTTACAGATGAGGAACCAGGGATTTAAAGAGGTTGGCCCAGGGCCAGGTGGCCACTATACAGTTAAGAAGCGATTTACCCAGAATTTCTGGCTCCAGAATCTATGTTCTCACCATGTCATATCCCTAATTTCTTACCCTGTTGGGAAATAGTTTCACATTCCAGAAGAGAGAGGCTGGTGATTTGGATGACTCTTACCTTGGTGGGAGGAAATGGAGAGGACAAAAGGTACAGAAAATAATCTCAGGAGGAAGATCTCCCAGGTTATATGGGGTAAAGGGAATGAACTTTTGTTTAGTTTATTCCTTCTTTATTAATTGATTTACTCAATGATTCTTTAAAATACATAGGCTGCTTCTCCCACTCTTCTATAACCACTGCTATAAATTTTTACCCAATCTTTTACCATCCTCTACTCTAGAAAATGCTACAAGCACCTTCTTTCCCTACGTCCTTAAAATTCACTATAGAACATTTGGAAAATCTCCGTGGCAAGATGCAGAGTTATTGTACCCTTATTTCCTTTTTTTTTTTTTTTTTTTTTTTTTTGTCTTCTCTTCTTAGTTAAGAACTAGATGTTGGTGTTACAGAGATTTTTCTGGCATTAGTTATCATCAGAGTTAGACTATGAAGGATTATGAATATAATCCAATACCCAAATCCCTCATTCTTAATTCCAAGACCAAACTTCTCTGAAAATAAAGGCTTTTGTAGCACATTGGACATTGAAACCTAACTTGAACTAACATAAGGCTATCCTGTTTTTAAGTTATTTAGGGTGCATAATCCCAAGTTTTCCAGCAGACACATTAACACGTTTTATCTGGGGTGCTGCTCCAGACTCTGCTGGTGATGTCAGGTACCAGGACTCCAGCTGAATGTCCCATAAATACTTTGAAACCAGAATATCCATAGCTGAACTGAGCATCTCTCCACTGCCAGCCTGCTCCCCTTCTAACATCCTGAAACATACATTCACCCAGCTACTCTTGTCAGAAACCTGGCATTCTAGCCCCTTCATTCTGCTTTCCTGTTCTGTATCCAATTAGCTACTAAGTTTAGACTTCTACATATTGCCAGAGTCCACACCCTGCTCTTACTCCTACTGACATAATCTTGATACAGGTTTTAATAGGGCTATTTTTAAAATCTAACCAGTCTTTGTGCCCTCGCTCCCCCCTCCACAGTGCTGCCACAGCGATCTAACTCAACAGCAGATCTGATCACATCATTCCCTGGCTGAGCACCTTCCCACAGAAGACTGGTACCCAGAGAATAAAGCCCAAACCTTAGGAATGACGGGTAAGATCCTGCCAAACGTGATCCTGCCTCTAAGCCCATCTTCCACCAATCCTTGCTTCTTACGTTATGCCTTAGTGACACTGACCCATATACCCTACTTCTTGACATGTCCTCACCCTTGCTCACACTCTCCACTCCACCTAGAATTTCCTCTCACTCTTTTTCAGTCTGGAGAATAGCATGAGCATAAGCTCATACATCATGTCTCCAGAAACCTCCCTGAATCCCCAAATCAGGCTAGGTATAGCTCCTTAGTATTTCCTACAACAAAACGTGCACTCTATGTTCTATCACATGCCGTTTTGTACTGACATTACCTGGTCCTATGTCTTTCCCCCCTGCTAAATTCTTCAAGAGGAGGGCCTTGGCTTATTCATCTTCATATCATTAGCACTGAATATATACACCTACTATGTAGTAGGTACTCAACAAGTGTCCAGGTAAAGATGCATTAAGATGGTGCTTATCATACAGCAAACAACATTTTGCACATTGGGTACAGTTCCAGCACTTATGCACAAGTATGTGCATCATTTCACATAATATGTCCTTAATAAAGCTGAGCGTAGGATGCCTGGGGAGGTGGGCTTGGTGCTACAGGAAGTGTCAGGGCAGCCCTCGGGGTGAAGATAACACCCAAAAAGCACCATGAATGGTGAGGAGGTGGGGCCATCATAGATAAAGGAAACAACCTGTGCAAACATCCAGAGGTTCTGCAGATGCCGGCACACTGGGGATGAAGAAATGCCTCAACATGAGAGGAGCCCAGGGCACATGTGGGTAGAAGTGAGAGAAGAGAACAGAGAGTAGGAAGAGGTACATGTCAAGCATTTCTGAGTAGCTTTTTGGTGAGGAAGTTGATTTGCCCATGAGAAGACAGTGAGGCCTTTTAAGCAAGGCAGGGAAATAATCAGAAATGGCTTTTAGTAATTGGTATAATTAGAGTATGGGAAGTGGATGGGATGGAGCTGAAACTGTCAACAGGAAGCCCTGTTCAGATGTTGCACAGTCTGAGTGACATAGGATAGGAGCCAGATCAAGGAAGAGGAGAGCGGAATGAGAGGAACATGAAAGTTGCTTGTTGCAACTCACCATAGCTCTTCCTTTGATGTTGAGGGCTGCGAGATACCAAGTCTCTGCACCAGTAAACTACTCTACTGCATGTCTCAGAGGTCAACCCTAGATGTCTCCAGGACATACTTAGTGTCAAGTTCTTAAGTTAAAAAAAAAAAAGGGGGGGGGAGGGGGCTGGGTGGCTCAGTCAGTTGAGCGTCCGACTTCGGCTCAGGTCATGATCTCGCACTTCGTGAGTTTGAGCCCCGTGTTGGGCTCTGTGCTGACAGCCTAGAGCCTGGAGCCTGCTTCGGATTCTGTGCGTGTCTCTCTCTCTCTCTCTCTCTCTCTGCCCCTCCCCACTCACGCTCTGTCTCTCCTGCTCTCGAAAATAAATATTGAAAAAAATTAAAAATAAAAATAAAAAGCTTTAGCGAACATATCAAGAAAATGGGTATGTTTGTTCAGGGAAGAACTATCAGAGGTTAATCATCCTTTAAAATCATCTGTAATTTGATTACTGTGTCATTTTAAATGCGGGTACTGTAAATAAATCTTCTGCCTTTTTCCAGCCAGTATAAAATTGGACATCTAGGATTGCAAGTTTTGGCAAATAAGAATGCAGGATGCCCAACTAAGTTTGAATTTCAGGTAAATAACAAAATTTTTAGTGTGCATATATCCTCTAAAGTGAGGCCCATTTTTTTTTCTTGAAGTGGGACACACTTACAATGAAACAATTCATTGTTTATCTGAGAGTCAAATTCAACTGGGTGTCCTATATTTTGCCTGGTTAATGCCCCTGCCAGCAAAACAATCATTACCTGTAGATAATAACTCCCTTCGACAATATGTAGTCCATCAAATGCCCCTAGGGCATAAACTTCATCTGGTTTCTTCTCAGACATCTTGTAGCTTAGATGGCAGCAGAGTTCTTTCTGACAAACTGTGTAATTTCCTGTGACTCTTGTGAGCTCCAAGAAGGTGAATTCATCAAAAAACGCAGTACTTTTAAATTCCTGATTTCCTGTGGAGAATGCTTTTATACTACTGGCATAAGAAGCCCAATTTACCACTCCAGGGTCGTATGAAGAAGAATTCAGTCGTGAGATGAGGAGTTTTCCCTCCTTTGTCTTCATGTCATAATGAAATGCTCTTGGAGAGTCAGGTGCATAGATGCCGCTTCCTGAAAGTGATGTTGGAAATGCATTTGAAATAGAGAAGTGAAAAAGGATTGCATGATTGCTACTGCTATTTTAAACTCACATTAACATTTAGTCTGGCTAAGCTAACTATTTCAGTAATTTCAGTAAAATATACTGACAGGGAAAGAGGTGAGAGGAAATCCAACAGGGTTTGCTACTGAGAAGCCAATAAGAGAAACTTTCGGGTCAGAAGTGGTCAATCTTGAGGGGGAAAAAAAGTGTGCCTGTAAGTTGAATAGAACTAAATAAATCTACAAAACAATTTAGATTGAGATGGATTCTACGGTATGTCACCAGCCAGAGGTGCAAAAAATAAGAGTTGGAAAACATTATATTAAGGAGTACACGTTAGCTAGAAAAAATCATTATTTTGCTTTTTTGGTTATGGCATAAAGTTTGTACATCTTAGAGATTATACATTACCTGTCATCCTCTTGTGGGGGTGGTGTATGTTGGCTGCAAGGAAGTTAACCCCCATGCCCACTGCCCAAGCCGAGTGGAATTCAATAGCTGATAAATGTGGCAAGACATTCATCCACGCTGTTGGGAAAACTATGGTATCCACATGGAAATCTTTCACCAGAGTAACAGCGGGATCATGGAAGAGTATATCGAAGCATGTGAAAATGCCAAATCTTCCAAAGATGGTGTCAAAAGTCACAACCTCAGGCTTCTTTGGTACGTTGAATTGATCCTCACCCATGAAAAGGTTGTACTGTAATAAAGAGAAGATGAAGTGGGTAAAAGTCTCTTTTCAGAAGTTGGCCTGGGTGTCAATGTGTCTGAAAAAGTGCAAGCCAACATCTCTTAGTGCCAATTTCATCCATAACCACCGTCCTCACAGGGAAAAAGTGTTACAGAATCAGAGATTACTATGGCTGATAGGAGCCTTTGGTTCAATCTCTACATTTTAGAGATCTGTAGAAGGGAATCCTTATGTATTAAGACCCTATTGAATCTTACAAGACCTAAGAGTAAAATAGATAACTTCTATTTGCCAAGAACACCTAAATATTTTCTATAGACAAAATTGCTCCTTTCTTTTCAAAACCAAGTCTATCTGGTAGGTAGTTTTTTTGTTCTAGTCTTGACCCATTGCCAGGGCATGTCCTTAAAAAGACAAAGTCTAAAAGGCAACATTATATTTCAGTGCAGGTACCTCCTGCTGATTCTCACATACTTCCAAAGATACATTCCTGTGTTCCTAAATGCGTAGAAAACCTCTTGAGCCTCTTTATAGGAGCTTACCATGCCTAATCATCGTTTTCTATGCTTTGTCTCTACTCTGCTTCTAAAGTATGCTTATTATAGGGGCGCCTGGGTGGCGCAGTCGGTTGAGCGGCCGACTTCAGCCAGGTCACGATCTCGCGGTCCGTGAGTTCGAGCCCCGCGTCGGGCTCTGGGCTGATGGCTCAGAGCCTGGAGCCTGTTTCTGATTCTGTGTCTCCCTCTCTCTCTGCCCCTCCCCCGTTCATGCTCTGTCTCTCTCTGTCCCAAAAATAAATAAACGTTTGAAAAAAAAAAATAAAAAATAAAGTATGCTTATTATAAACATTAATGTTTTTTCCCCTTTTTTCCCACTTTATTTTGTTAAACATTCAGTATCTGAACTGTGTGCAAATTAATTTTACCTTATGGTAGCGTGCCACCAGTTTTCCCTGAGAATCAAATACCACATCAGTGTTGTACTGGTAACGGCCATCAGGGGGACACTGAGGGTCACTGGCATTGCATGGCTTCTTGTCCCCAATATTTGCCACAACGTAGATAGAGTTGTGCTTGGCCAGGCAGCTGAGTCTTTCTTGCACTGGGGTGTGGCCAAACCTAATATGTGTTCATTGGAAGAGGAAAACAAAAATCAAGCTTACCTCTTAATAAAATTCAGCGTTATATTGCCTGAAGCTATTATGTGACATACACAAAACTAAATTCTAAATAACATAATAGAAGGGAAGGATTAAAACAAGAATAGACTTTGGAGGAAGTACACACTTGTGGGAATTTGGTTGTAGAAAACTGTTCTCGGATAAGATTCTAGGTCATGTATCTTTTTCTTCACAGCATTTATCATCATCTATAATCAGTATTCATTATGTGTTTATCTTATGATCTGTGTCATATCTCATAGATATTTTGGGCAAAGATATACATCTTCTGTTCACTAACCCTGGCAGAAAAGAAGCATTAAAAAAAAATATTTCAATTGAAATAAGAACAACTTGGAATTAAGAGAATTTTGGGAAGATGGCTGAGTACAAAGCACCAGGAATCCATCCTTCCACGTAAATGGTATTTGTGCTGGCAGAATCTAACTGAAATTTTGGAGTCTATTCCAAGGGTTGTGAGTTCCAGGGGGAAGGCTTGGCAGGTGCATAGATGCCACTTCCTGAAAGCGATGTTGGAAATGGCATTTGAAATAGAAAAGTGAAAAGGGATTGCATGATTGCTATTGCTATTTTAAACTCACAGTAACATTTAGTCTGTCTAAGCTAACTACTTCAGTAATTTCACTAAATTTCACTAAATTTCAGTTAGTTTCAGTCAATTTCAGCTCTTATCATGGGTAGTGGCTACCCATGCTCTACCCCACCCCAAGCCCCATGGCAGGCAGCCATGCAAGTGTTCCTGCAATACTGTGTAGGTAGTTTATGGGATCAGGTTAGACAATAGAAACCCTGTCCTCTAAATATCAGGAAACTGTATTCTGATCACTGATAGCTGCTTCTTATCCTGGAGGTGCAGACACAGGGACAGGTAGCCATTGTTGCATCTCCACCACTATAATGTTGTCAGTCCTTCCCCCACTAACTGAAATAATTTCTAGAGGATTTAAAAAGCCAGAGTCTTCTTCTCTCCCCCTTCTTTAATTTTGCTTTTTTTTCCTTTCTTTTGGGAATCATACATTGAAGGACTAGGATATACAAAAGCAATCATATATATAGGAGATTGTAGAAAGTCGCCACATATGCTCAGGGTAAAATAAAGGCGAAGACAAGGCTTCAAAAGATTTTATACCTCAAGCTTATGCCTAGCACAGAAACACCTACAGCAATCAAAACAGACAAACAAGCAAAAGGCAGTAAACCCTGGGGAAGGGGGAAAATTTCATTTCCAGAATTATCACATTTTAAGATTCAAATACCAATTTGTCAACAAAAAAATCATAAGGTATACAAATAAAGAGGAAAGGGTGTCCCCATTCCAAGGAAAATAAGAATAAACCTACAGAAACTATCCTTGAGTACGACCAGATGGAAAACTTCCTGGACAAAGACAAAAACAACAGTTTTAAAGATGCTCAAAGAACTAAAAACAAATGCAGAGGAAGTCAAGAAAATGATGTGTGAACAAAAAGGAAATATCAATAAAAAAGATGGAAAACCTAAAATAAACCAAAAAGAAATTCCGGAGCTGAAAATTACAGTGTTTAAAATAAAAAAAAATTACTAAAGGGATTCAGAGATGGATTTGAGTTGGCAGAAGAAAGAATCAATAAACTTAAAGGTAATGCAAATTGAAATGATCGAGTTGAAAGAATGGAAAGAGAAAAAGACTGATGTGAACAAGGCCTAAGGGAGCTGTAGGACACCACCAAGTGGACGAATATACACATTCTAGGAGTTCAAGAAGAGTGAGATAAGGGAACGGAGAGATTATTTGAAGAAATAATGTCCAAAAACTTTCCAAATTTGAATAAAGGCATGACTATAAAGATCCAAGAAGTTAAATGATCTCCAAGAAGGATGAACTCAAAGACACCCATAGCAACACACATTCTAATCAAATTATCAAAAGCCAAAGACAAAATAAGAATGTTGAAGGCCACAAGAGATAAGTGATTGATACCATACAACCAATCCTCAGTAAGATTATCACAGTTTTTAATCAGACACTTTAGAGGCCAGAAAGCAGGGGGCCAATATATTTAAAGCACTGAAAGAAAAAACTTTCAACTAAAAATCCTATATTCAGCAACACTGTCCTTCAAATGTGAGGGGGAAATTAAGATATTCTATGCTAATATCTGACATAATTGACTTTAAATTAAAAAAAAAAAGATTTTAAGAGACAGAGAAGAGCATTGTATATTAATATTCACAATACAACAGAGAACTCTTAAAATTCAACAACAACAAAAACCCTGATTTAAAAATGGGCAAAAGACTGGAATAAACTTTTCTCAAAAAAAAAAAAAAAAAGGCCATAAAAATGGCCAATATTACTGGTAGGTCTGTTCTTTTTTTGATAAAAACCCTCAAGAAAGTAGGGATAGAAGGACCATACCTCAAGATCTTAAAACCATATATGAAAGACCCACAGCTAATATCATCTTCAATGAGGAAAAATTGAGAGCTTTCCCCTTAACATCCGGAACACGACAGGGATGTCCACTCTCACTACTGTTATTCAACGTAGTGTTGGAAGTCCTGGCCTCAGCAATCAGACAACACAAAGGAATAAAAGGCATCCAAATTGGCAAAGAGGAAGTCAGACTTTTACTCTTTGCAGCCAACATGATACTCTACCTGAAAAACCCAGAAGATTCCACCAAAAAACTGCTATAACTGATCCATGAATTCAGCAAAGTCACAGGACATAAAATCAACACACAGAAATCAGTTGCATTCCTATACACCAATAATGAAGCAACAGAAAGAGAAATCAAGGATTCGATCCCATTTACAATTGCACCAAAGCCATAAAATACCTAGGAATAAACCTAACCAAAGAGGTGAAAAATCTATACACTGAGAACTATAGAAACTTTATGAAAGAACTTGAAGAAGACACGCACACAAAAAGGAAAAATATTCCGTGCTCAAGGATTGGAAGAACAAATATTGTTAAAGTGTTGATACTACCCAAAGCAACGTATATATTCAATGCAATCCTATCAAAATAACACCAGCATTCATCACAGAGCTAGAACAAACAATCTTAAAATTTGTATGGAACCAGAAAAGACCCCGTATAGCCAAAGCAATCCTGAAAAAGAAAACCAAAGATGGAGGCATCACAATCCTGGACTTCAAGCTGTATTCCAAAGCTGTAATCATCAAGACAGTATGGTACTGGAACAAAAACAGATACACAGATCAATGGAACATAATAGAGAACCCAGAAATGGACCCACAAACGTATGGCCAGCTAATCTTTGACAAAGCAGGAAAGAA